ATGAGAAACCCTCCCCGGTCCCCAGCCCCAGCTCCTCGCCCTCCTCCCGCGGACAGCGTGGTGGGGAACGGCTGGACCAGCATCTCCAGCCCTGCCTGGGGGCGAGGAGCCTCCGGCCCCCTAACTTGCACAGGTGGAATCAACACTTTTGAGAGGTGACGGTGGCCTGAAACGCGGGTGCGGAGGGAAGGAGAGGGATGGGGAGCGGGGTCTGGAGTCCTGCCCGCAGCCCGCCGTGTTTTTTTTCCCCAGCATCAGGCATTGCTCCCTGTGCCCGGCCCCTCTGGGGCTGCCTGCAGGGCTGGGGGCTCCGCAGCAGACAGGCAGGTTGGTGTAGGAATAAAGAGGCTTTAATCCCAACTGCGCGGTGCCGTGCCGGTGCGGGGTATTTGGGGTAACTGCCTATTTCTTCCTCCTTTGGCACGAGCCTCCCCCTCCAGAGCCTTGGTGCGGGGCTGGCGCCTGCCGGGAGCTCGCTGGGGCAGCGGGCAGGCATGCTGCCCACTGGGTCCTGGTAGGGGTGGCAGCTGCATCCCCAGCTTCGCTTGGGGACGGGGCTGAGACCGTCGGGGTCGCGGGGCTGTGATGCTCGCTGCTCCCTCCCTGCCTGGGCTCGGCGGTGCAGGAGGCAGCAGCAGACCCTGACGCTCCTGCAGCTCCTCCAGCTCTTCCAGGCGGGTACGGTGTTCCTCCAGGGCCTGCCTCTGCCTCCGCCGCGAGCGCCCGGCCAGCTCCCGCTGCAGATCCGCAAAGAAATCTGCCAGGGACAGAGGGAGGGAGAGGGAGAGGGAGAAGAATTACAGGAGACCCAGCACAGCCACCCAAGCTCCCTGCCACTTCTGTCACCCTTGGGAACAGAGGGACCGGCCTGCTTAACCCCCAGGTGTGTCCTGCTTCAGTTTGGGCACCTTTGCCTGCAGTGAAGGGGCCGCTTGACTCAGAGAGCAACTCCTTGTCTTCGTCCTCACTGCTGGAAGAGCCTCCTTCCTCCTCTTCCTCACCCATGCCACCATGGATGGGCTGGGCATCCAGCTGCAGGAGGTGGGGCAGGGCTCCCACCACCAGCTCTCTGCAAGCACCGAAGGAAGAGCAGATGTTTCCCAGCCACGCGGCATCACCTGGGGGCTGGGAGC